AAAAGGGAAAGAAACTTTGCGATACTAGCCGGTCCAGAATATTCACTTGAATATTTTCAAAAGTCGATTGGGACTAGGGGTGGAAATCGGAATGAAATTTCTGAATTCCGCCAATTCCGATTCGAACAAAGTCCGAATTTGAAAGCGTATTTTTCATTCCGATTTACGATTCTTCTGAATTTATTTGAAACGGAATTGGAATATTATATAAAAAAAAATACCGGAAAATGGAACGGAATTTCTTGTACTTTCCTGCAAAATTTCAAAAGAGATTGAAAAATATTGTGAAAATTTCTATTATATGGGAGTTTGGAACAAAAGATTAGAAACTAATGTAATTTTCGAAATTCCACCAATTCCAAGCCATTACAAAAGTCAGAATGAATTTTTGCATTCCTACGGAAATTGGAACCAATTTTTTATTTCCAAAGAAAATTAAAAATTTTCCAAAAAAACTATCCCGGTCATTCCGTCCGATTTCCACACCCGAATTGGAACCAACGGGTTAACCCGTTCAATCGATAGGTCAAACCGGTCAAACCTTGGTTAAAAACTGATTTGGGCCTTGATTAAAACTCGGCCCATTGCACTTAACAATTTGTCCATTCACTTCAACTGAGATTGCATAATTCATGTACAGTGCACAGCCCAAGCCCGTATACAATTTAGTTATATATATAAAAAATAACATTAATCATTTTTAACTGATACGAAAAAAAAAAAGAAAAAAAAAAAAAAACCGAGTCTAACAAGTTGGATAAGAAAGTTATGAATTTCGGTTTGGAACTAGAGGCAAGTTCACTCTCAATAAAAAAAAATCGACTATATTATGTTTCTTCTGTCCACCCAAACTACAAACTAATCCAAAATAAAATTCCTAATTTTTTTTCGAACCCCCAACCTATAACAAAATCATAGTTTTGTCACTCTTAGAACAATCATTGTTGTCATTAAATCTTATTTTTTTCTTAATGTATATTCGACCGCCACAATAATAAAATTCTAGCTTCGTCACTGAACCATAAACTGGAGTTGTAACATCGAGAATGCATTATTGGTCGAGTGATTAATATTTCAACCAGTAAATTAAATATTGAATTAAATTTCCCTATCGGCTTGGTTTTAAAAGCACTGACAGTCATTAAGACACAACAAAATAAATAATAGCCATAATGCTATTTAAGGCACTTAATATCCAGTGTCCTATGTTTGGGAAATAATTCCATGTTTGTACGCCATACACACACCCCACATATGTAAATCATTTTACACCCGTACGGATTTTGTAGATGTTACATTCGGTAAAATATATCGAGTGATTCTTCATCATTAATCATTTTACGAATCCTCAGTTATGACATAAGCGTAATAAGATACTACTAATCTTATTTAAATATTTTCTTATTTTCTTTATTCATGTAGTAGCTCAAAATTGGATCCTTTTCACAAAAAAATAAAAAATTACTCCTCCTATAAAATGTTACGAGTACGAGTTATTTTACGAATTCTGACTTGAGTCTTGGAACATTTTTGCCAATCACAACACCACGAAAACCATATTATTATTATTTTTATTATTATTATTTTTATTATTATTATTATTATTATTATTATTATTATTATTATTATTATTATTATTATTATTATTATTATTATTATTATTATTATTATTATTATTATTATTATTATTATTATTATTATTATTAACTCAAAAAAAAAGAAAAAAGAAGAGCATGAAATTGGACTTTATAAATTACTTGGCAGCAACAACGCAAACAGAAGATATAAAAAAATCCAAGCAAATGTTCCAAGTAAAAGATCGTGCATACTAGTAGCCAAATACCAAAAGTAGCTGTCATTACGCAATCCTCCAGGGGTACTATCGTCATTCATACACTACAATATATATATATATAATTATCAGAGACTTTAAAAAGAAAAAAAAACAACAAAAATCAGATTTTACTCTACACCGGAAAATAGAAACTTAACTAAAAAGCCAGAGCAACGACTTTTTGTTTGTTTTAAAAAAAAAAAAAAAAAAATACTAAACGAAGTTTGATCGAAGTCAAAACCACAATCAATGGCGGAAAACGAATTCCAACCGCCGCGGCGGCCGCAGCCGACGTCCAGGCCTCCGGCGCCGACGATCACGCTGCCGCCGAGAAGTGCCGTCGACAGCTTATTCATGGGCGTCGGCGCGGCGGCGGGGGTGAGCCCTGGGCCGATGAGTTTGGTTTCGAGCTTCTTCGCCGAAAACGACGACCCTGATAACGACTGCCGCTCGTTCTCTCAGCTTCTCGCCGGCGCCATATCTTCCCCTCCATCTGCTGCCAACGTCAGGCATAATTTCGGTCAGCCGGCGGCGGAGAACAGAGGCGGAGATGGTGGTAGTGGGGAGTTTAGGTTCCAGCAGAATCGGCCGGCGGGGTTAATGGTGTCGCAGCAGCACGGAATGTTTACGATTCCGGCCGGTCTCAGTCCTGCTAGCTTGCTCGATTCGCCGGTGTTCTTCCCATCTTCGCAGGTATTAATTTCATGAAAAATTCCTTTTTTTTTCTTTTTTTTTGGGTAAAGTTTTGCAAGTTGATCAATTGTTGTTTGTTGGCCAGAGGGGGCCACGGCCCCCAAACATTTCTCAAATATCTATAAATAAATTTATATAGAAATATAAAAAAAATTATGCCCCTTAGAATTTTTTTGAATGCATTAGGTACTCTGAACTTAAAATTCTGACTACGCTAGTGTATCGCGCAGTTGTTCTGTAATAACATACAATAGGCATATAAACGTGTCGCTTATCTGATTGTGAATTCGGTTAACTGATGTTGCTGGGAATTTTTCATAAATGAACTAATTTTACAAACAACATCGAACTGGTTGAATCATGTCTTGAAAAAAAAAACCATCGTATAGCTCGTTTTATTTATTAAGACTCTCTGTCCATGCAGTGGCGGAGCCAGGATTTTAAGTCCAAATGGGTCGAATTCGGCGTTAATGGTTGTTGTACACAAAAAACAGTTATATTTTTATATAAATCAATAGTAATTTGAGAAATGTCGGGGAGGCCATGGCCCCCTTGGCCCTATACTGGCTCTGCCACTGTGTCGTAGACATCTGAAAGTACGAGGCTCGTAATCTTATTTGTGTTTTTTTTTTTTCATTTTGAAATAGGGTGCAATGGGAACATCGCATCAACATTTTCTGGCTCAGTTAACTGCTCAAGCCCAGATGAACATCCATTCTTCATACCCGTCGTCTTCGTCAGCCTCTCTGCCACCTCATTATTCCAATGCCACTCTGCAAATAAATTCCTTACCAGGCCGTAACATCGTTAAGGAGTCGTCTGACATTTCCAACTCCGATCAGAAATTGCAGTTAGCCGCCCCTAACTTGGTTGTCGACAAGCCGGCAGACGATGGGTACAACTGGCGCAAGTACGGGCAGAAGCAGGTGAAGGGTAGCGAGTACCCTCGAAGCTACTACAAATGCACTCATCCCAAATGCCCCGTCAAGAAGAAAGTCGAAAGGTCTCTCGATGCTCAAATAACCGAGATCATATATAAAGGCCAGCACAACCACCCTCCGCCAGCTAAGCGCACGAAAGATTATCCAGACGGGGGAATTAATCATCACGGAAACTCCGAATTGGATAGCAGGACTACTAACGAAGGGATCAAAGATCAAGAATCTAGTCAATTTACTCACGAACGTGTAACTGGATCGAGCGACAGTGACGAAGTGAACGGAAGTCACGAGGATGAACCCGAATCAAAACGAAGGTAATATTAATTATTAACAACTTTTTTATTTTACTTTATGCCGTATGCTAATGTGAAAAAAATAAAAAAAATTGACAGAAATATCGAGGTTCAAACTACAGAGCAAGCTTCGTCGCATCGTACTGTCACAGAGCCGAGGATCATTGTACAGACGACGAGTGAAGTTGACCTTTTAGACGACGGTTACAGGTGGCGTAAGTACGGGCAGAAAGTTGTTAAAGGGAACCCTTATCCAAGGTGAAGAAAGATTTAACTGTTGATTTTTACGATTTATTTCTTTTTCGATTTTTTTTTTTATTCAATTTTGCTCGTTGGGTTTTTGCAGAAGCTACTACAAGTGCACTAGCCAAGGTTGCAACGTACGAAAGCACGTTGAAAGAGCTGCAACCGATCCGAAAGCTGTAATAACAACTTACGAAGGAAAGCACAACCACGACGTACCTGCTGCTAAAAACAGCAGCCACAGCACAGCCAATAACGCTGCTGCTTCGTCTTCTTCTCAGTCGAGACCACAAAACGCGTCGTTCGATAGACAAATGGAGAATCGAAGAATTGAATTTAGGAGCAACGAGATGCAGCATCCTGTGTCGCTTCTCCGATTCAAGGAAGAACATATAACATAGTGGTTTTTTTTCTCGCAAGGTGAGGTTGATGGGAATTAATACTTTTATTGACGATTTGTTTTCTTGTTTGCTCGAGTGATGATTTTTTTGATCTGGGACAAAATGAATATATATTTATACGAAGGGTAGGATCTAGGGAATACATACATACATACACACGTACTGCCACAGTTAAAAATACATACATAACCGTGAGACGAATAGGACGACAGTTTGTATATTTCATCAGTAGGGAAATAGTGTTTTGTTTGTATGCATTCTTTCTGTAAAAAGAAAAAGAAATTCTAATTGTGTTGTGAAACATTTCGTATTTGATGAATAAAGATGGATTGATCTTTGAAGTGTCATGCTGTTTTCATTTTTTTCGTCTTATTTATCGGTCGACGAATACCCCGAGAAGAAATGCAACGAACAATGAATTCCTCATCAACAAGAAAGTTGAAATGTACAGTGAAGAATAGAAAATTTCTGTTGACTAAACGATCTCTCGACAAACTCGAGCTCACTGAAAATAAGCTGCTTTTTTTTTCGCCTTACAAAAAGTTATCGAATATTCTATTGCATTCTCGACTCTAGCTTATTCATCACTCAGAGTAACAAGTGTCGGCATCTGTCCATGGTTCACAAAGTCGATTTTGTTCAACCGCACGCAGCACATAACTTTCTCGGGCAGTTCCTCTGGATTTTGTCCCTGCATTTTGTATCGCAAGTCGATTAAATTTTACGCAAGAGCAATATATATTATATACGTATAATATATATATATATATATATATATATATATATATATATATATATATATATATATATATATATATATGTGTGTGTGTAAAATGAAATTTTTTTTACCTGAATTGTCAGTCCCAGATCAAGTATCCCGTATTTCAAGCGTTGACTGAACGCTTCGAGTCCTCTCCTAGATATATAGCTGAACCGGTGTACATCAAGATCGATTTCAAGGTAATTCGGTCCCTGCAAACGAAAAAATAAAATAATAACAAGAATTAGTTCTCGAAATTCATTTGCTCCGTTAGCTCAAATTCTTGGACGACGGTCGATTTTGTTTCGTACCTTGTAAAACGCATGCTGAGGGCGTGACAGCACGGGCTTATCTTTATACGCGTGAAGAAGCTTTCTCCCCGCAGAACTCAAACCAAGGTCTTCCGAATTCACGGGGTTCACCATTATTTTAAGTCTCTCTCTATACGGAACAACGTTTTCCTTCGCAAAACCTTTCACCGTTTCCATCTCGTTCGCAATAAATCTCTGCATTCCAAGAAAAAAACAAGTCAAAAAAAAAAAAAAAAAAGATCATATTTTGCTAAATAAAACCCGTGTCGCAGTTTTCGAAATACTTTCGAGTATATTGTATTATTATTATTACCTTTAAAGTGTCGAAATATTTCGGAGAAGTCTCTTTATCGAAATTATCGGACACTCTGAAGTATATTACGAGGCTCGTTCCTTCCCCATCGCTGTCTCCAAGAAACATGGAAGCTGGATATGCAGGTAGCTGCCGTAATAAAAAATAAAAAAATTATTGCCATGTCATCTCGTTTTCTCGGTTTTCGGTGTGTAACTATAATCCAACAACAACGGAAAAAAAACTCGAATGTGTTACCTGTATATTTACAATCAACAGAGAAGGCAAATGATGGTGTGATTCGAAACACGGGAGTTCAATGTGCTCTGCTATATGATGTATCTTCTTCGGACATGCGAAAAAATCGACACCGATAGGTATATAAGGGCTATAATCGGCAGCCGGATATTTCTTTTTATCTCTGCACAAATAAAATAAAATTCCACGTGAAAACGACGTTAAATAAAAAGAAGTTATACTTAATGTATATCTACTAAAGAAAAAAAAAAAAAGCATGCCTCAAAAAACTATCTCCGCGCAGCTTAAAAACGGAAGGCGAAACGGGGGACCAAGAACCGTGAGGTGGCATCTCCTCGGTCGAGCGTGGTACGAGGGTCCCGCCTATTGGATTGTATAAATATTTCTTAGATGAACCTGTACAAATATTCGTATTTATTATCGTAATCCGAGCTAAGCATTTCTTTTTTTCAATTGTATTGTCTGCAGAATCACTAGTTGGATGCACATAGTCTTCTTCTTCGTAATCTTCTTTATTTCCCATAATGACGAAAGTGCCCTTAGATTTATCGACGGTTTTTTTGTAGCATTCGTGGTCGTCCATGGATGTGAAACCATCTGAAATGAACAAATAAATGAGGTAAAAATCAATATGAAAAATAAAGAAATATCCGAAATTAATTACCTTCGGCCACGCTAATATAGTCTTCGTCAGTCTCGGAATCGAGGACGCTTAGAGAGTCGAACCATTGCTCCTCTTGCCATATTTCTCCTGATAAATTAAATAAAAATAAATTAAATATCATAATCTGCATATAATAAATCAAGAGCTGTAAGAGTTAAGCATGAAGAAACTTACTGTCTGAACCAACATTATCGACTGTCTCGACATTTTGAATGTCCGCCGAAACAAATTCTTGGACAGAGTATTCAGTGGGGTCCACATGTTCGACAATTGGGCTCGAAGGAGCTATCTTTCTTCGAAGTTTACCCGACTTATGATAAATATTCTTCGCCTTTGATTTGAACTTGTTTCTGGGCTTCGAAACACAGCCACCCATTATTTAGTGACTAAAATTTCATTAACCCCAAAAACGAACAATCGCACTGTAAAACAAACATCTCGGAATTAGTCAACATAATCGGACAAATCAAGAATTCTTGGCATCAAACATCAAAGATAATGAATTCATATATGGAATTCAAGTTGAGAATTCTACGTACGAAACAAAACAGATATTAGTATGATCAACACGATCGAGCAAATATACATGCTTTCGAAACGAAAAAATCTGCAGACGAAAAAAGCTTGATAACAAATAGTGCTTACTGCAAGAATGGAGAAAATTTTGTTTCTTGAACATGAAGGAATGCAGAAACTATTGCAAATAGAGCTAAAACTTATAAACAAAGAAAATAAAAAAGAAAACGAAAAAACGATACGAATTGTGATTGGATGAACACCAAACCCTTTAGTGGATGCATATCAAACACAAATGAGAAAAAAACTCACAAGCCTAATTTCTGACCAGAAATAAAAAACAACCACTCACCCACCAAAACCACAGGAGCCGAAAAACGTCGAATTAAATATAAATACAAAAAAAAAAAAAAAAAATTAAGACAAAATTTCCAATTATGTGTGACTCTAACAAAGTTGGTGATTTTTCCACCTTGGTAGAACAATAGGGTGTTAGAAAAATATCAAGAAAAGAATAATAAGCTATATAATAAAAAAGGGGGGTTGTAATATTTTCAAGAATTCCCTAACAAGCCATATAATAATAAGTCATGAAAAGGACTTCAAATGATTAGAATGCTGTGATTAAAAAATAAATATTAATTAATTAATTAAAAGAAGTGTTTGCAATAGTTTTTATAAACCAACTTAAAAAACAGAGACCAACAACAACATAAGGGAACATATTCTAACAAAAAATAAACCAGCAAACAAGGAACACCTAAAACATTATCACCCACCAAAAAAGTTTTCTAACTTATTCAATCAATATATATATATATATATATATATATATATATATATATATATATATATATATATATATATAAGGTATTGAAATGAAGGGTCATAGCCAAATAAATGCAAACGGCAGAACTTAAGTTTTTACATAAAGTTTGAAGGATCTAAATACACAAAAGAGTTTCCCGCTCTAAAATGTTGGTTTTTTTACCCGCCTTATTTCTCTTACTATTAAATATTAATTTCTCTCCTCGAAATTCCCGTCTTACAAATATGAAATATTTATATTATTTTTTTGGGTAAATAGTAGTTCACCTCTTAAAAAAATTATGTATTATAAGAATAGAACGGTAAATCACAGTCACCCGCTCAAATAAAGTGTATTTATCTCAATTATATTTATCTTCTTGCAATTTGTAAAATTTTTATATTAACACCCTTTTGTAAGGGTAGATGTAAAAAATTTACAAATTGTAGATGGTTTAATGTAATTTCTCAAAAAAAATTGGATTATTTTGTAACTACACTTTACTTCATGGAACTGGTTGTAATTTACCATAAGAATAATAATATTTGGACTAAATCCAATTAATAGTATATGTTAGAATGTTTTATGTCAAGAGCGACCAATATATTATCAGACGACTCTTAAAATATAATTTCTAATAAATCGTCTTAATTCGAACAAGTCTATGAAAATGAGATCATAAAGTTCACAAACAAAATATTCAATTTTTTCAACTTGAAAAAAAAAAGTGGCTACTTTCCAAACGCAATTTAATCCAATCGCAAATATATTTGATCTATTCCAATAAAGTAACGCTTTTAATTTTGAATATCTAATTCAAAATGTATATAGACTATGATCTTATCTACATTCGTAATAAATTAAACTATTTGTTTATATTGTGATAATTTTCTGATCTGAGCGTTGGAAGACAATCGTCGAACCACCACACGTATCACCTATTTCCTTTTTTTTTTTTCTCTCTTTTTTTTTTCTTCGAAAACGAATGAAATAGCCCCACTTTTTACATACCTACCAATTGAAGAATTAATTGGTGAATTGAAAATTCGGCCTCCCACCTACATATCAAGAAAAAACATGAATTTGGCAAGAAATTAAAGACTAGACAAACATTAAGTCAACGATAATAAGAATATGCACCAATTTATTAGGTACTTTTTTGCAAAAAAAAAAAGAAAAAGAAGCCCATTGTGAATAGATTACAAGTATTTTTGTACTCATAATCAATTTGTGAGTATTTATTAATATTTTTTTTTTGCTTCTATTGAAATAAGTTACTAAGCTACAATAAACTTAAAAACCTTTAATCAATAGATTTTTAATGGTTATAGCTGTATTGGATATTTTTGACTTATTATTTATATTTAAATTAATAATATTTGGAGACAATTAGCCAAAATAAACAGGAAAACCGAATTTCGTTTTGCAACCAAGTCAACTTATAAATTAAATATATAAAACTGATTTTTAATATCTAAAATTTTACTCACAATCACCAACTTCAGCAATAAAAGTCGTCTTCGGAGAACTGATACCTAAGATTTCAGTACGCCATAATTGTTTTCTCGTATTTGTTAGTTTATTGGTCGTTTTCATGACAGTGGTGCAAAGATTGTAGCCAATTGAAAAACAAAAGGATTAGGATATATAACAAGATTTATATTAATTATTTTTTGGTAAGTATCATATTCAATATTGTTTATTCTAAATTAAATATCCCAACAAACATTTGGTCTTCCCCAAATTCAAAACCAAACCCAATTGTGTAATGTGTGTGGAGTTGGTGGAGATTAATAAAAATTCGTTGTGGGCTAAATTGGTGATAAGTCCAGGTTGTCTTGTCAAGCCCAACAAATAATTGGATCAATTATTTTTTTCATTCCTCGAGTTTGTACTGATTGCATATTTGGTTCTTTATATTCACAAAAAATACATTTGGTCCCTTATATTTTAATAATTTAATACTTTTTGGTCATCTTTGTCGTATTACCGTTTCGTCAGTTAAGGCAGTCTGAGGCACAAGCTAGATTCTATTAGTATTTACGGAAAAATGTCGGGAATGACTAAAAGTGTTGAATTTTTTAAACACGAGGGACTAAATGTATTTTTTTTGTGAATATGCAGGACCAAATGTGAAACCGATGTAAACTTGAGGGGTGACTACTGTAATTTTTCCTATTTTTCTATGTCACTTCTTAGACTATTTATAAAGCTATTTCTTTTATTATAATATAAATGTATACAAATAACTCAAATAAGCTAGAAAAATAAATTCTAACGAACAAAAATAATAGAAAATAAATAGTAATTGGATTAATTTGGAACCCACTATTTGAATTATGCATGATTGATAAAAACAAGTGCATTGAAATCATTATAAAGGGGTAAATAAGTAAATTAGTAACAGTAAAAGAAGTGAAAGATGTGATTTAAATGATTATGTAGGTCAATGCATCAAACCACAATAGAAAAGCACCATATCTCCCTCCAAATATGGTTTTTTTTTTTTTTTTTTTAGTTATTATTAATAAAGTTTCCTTTTTTTATTTGTCCTCTAAAAACTTTAATTGATATCACGAAAGGTGCGAACTTTAATTTTATAGTGCATTCAGCACACATAAGTGTCCACAATATTCGACTGCGGATTGAAAATACACGGACCTCTGCCACGTGGACGATTATTGCCAAATGATGGCTAACAAATACCTCTCTCACAAAATATCACAAAATACTTGATCCAATAAAATTTGGTGTAAAAATTAATGGGAGAGATGATAAATGTGTGCAACATGATTGTAGGATTGTTTAGACATTCTTGGGTAGGGGAACCATTGTGCTTTGATTGTTGGCATGCATGAATTAATGAGTAGGGGACCCTGCCCAAAATAAAGTCTAGTAATATTAATATTTAATAAAAAAAAAAAAAACTATTAACATGAAATTAAAACTACAATATTTTAAAATGTAAATAGTGAAAAGAATTGAGTGATAGTAATTTTAGATATCGATAAAAAATGGTTAGTTGGGTCGAACCAAGAATTGCCGATAATCAACCGACCCAACCGAAGAAAACAACTCTTGGTAGACCTCCAATCCTAACTAGATTACTTCTCATTTGAAGTTTAATTATTAATTCTTGCAAAAAAAAAAAAATTATAATAATAAATATTAATTAAAAAAATTGATTTAGTAATGGGTCATGGGCCAAGTCAATGTCCTAATCTGTAAATTTTCATGTACAAGGCTCATTTGTCTTTACATTTGGACTCTAGTATACAAAATAGAATCTACCCAATACCAATTAATTATTTAATTAATTTATTAATGAGGTTTTTCCTTTTTTACCCTTAGATATATGCATAAAATGTTTTGAATATTATTGTTGAATTATACATTTTGCAAATTCAAGAATGCTATAGTCATACATTATACTGTATACAGTAAGTAAAACCTCGATAAATTAATAATTTCGCTTAAATAATTATTTTTTCGTCCCGACTTAATAAAAATGTACTAAATTGTTAGTTCGATAATTCAATATTTTGCTAAATTAATAGAATTTTGTTAAAGTCTATAGAGGTTTAAAAGTATATGCTATATGTATAATTAATTATGCAAGTAGCTTAATTAAAAAAATAGAAAGAATATTTGATACATGTTTATATTATAAATATTAATAGGAATGAGAGTGTAGTGTTTTGACTTGATGTAGTAGAATATATATTTAAATTGTACAACTCATCAAACACGATGTACTCTGACAAGAAGGTGCCAAAAGAATGCATCTTGGCTCGAGAAAAGACATTGGAAAACCCCATACGAGGTCCCTTTTTTCATTTTTTAATTGTAACTATATAATATATTTTCATTAAAAAAAATTTGTATAGTATTATAGTAATATAACACCACCCCCACCCCCAACCCCCCTACCGCCACCTCATCCAAGATTTCCTTGTTATCTAGACCTCACATAATTGATACAAAATGACAAAATTTAATTGGTGCATAATTGCAATAGCATATTTTATATTAAAAACAACTAAATTTACAATTAATTTCTATTTTAAAAATAAATTATGAATTTCCATTTACGTGGGCTTGTTTTAATTATGGCAATGTTTCCTGCAGGCCAGAGACCAGATAATGACTACAAAGACCGATTGATTGAATAATGGGGGACATAAAAAGGTGAAAAGAAAAACTTGAGGACCAAACATCAATTTCTTCAAACTTACTCCATTCAATTCAACTATAGTAATTAAATTGCAGATAGTTAGTAGAATAATATTTATTGAGGAAATAGATCTTGAATTTATTATATATCCACCTATGTATAGATCCAAACTGCTTCTGGTTTAGGTACTAACCACTCCCTCGTGAGTTTTGAGATAAAGTTCTTTGCAAAATATCCAAATGCTATTAATTATTATAGCAAAATATGACTTAATAATAAATAAAAAAAGGAAAAAAGCTTTAATTGTATGCTTTCACTACTAATTTTGCAATTAAAGGCTCGATTGGTTACCTATATTGGATGATTTAGTTAGTAGGAGGTTCGGTTTACTGAACTCGATCTCGTATTAAATGTGCTAAATTCTTGTATTATATGTGATTTATTTACAAAATTAACATGTAGTTTGAAGGATAAAATGGTCTTTTACTTGTTTTTTTCACCCACCGCTGAATTAATCTCAGGGTTAAGTGCTATTAATTTCATGAAATATTACCATTTAATATCGAGTTTGAAAAAACGTGAATCTTGCTAACCCGAACAAAACGTGTTACTAGCCCTTATTTAGTATGTAGTAGCGGTAACCAAACGAGCCATAAGTATTCCAATAGGCGAGACTTGCTGGGTAATGTTTAATTACAAGTTTACCCAGAGTGGAGTTAATTACCTCTGTTTTTCTACTGCAACATGCACAGTAAGAAAGAGAATCAAGAAAATCCCCGAGAGAGAAAGAGATGGAGAGAGAGAGAGAGAGAGAGAGAGAGAGAGAGAGAGAGAGAGAGAGAGAGAGAGAGAGAGAGAGAGAGAGAGAGAGAGGCCATAAATGGGGTTGTTAGAGTAGAAATTACTGCAGAGAGAGAGAAGAAGAAGAAAGGGGAAAAAGGGTTAGAGAGTACGTACAACTGGGTGGTGGTGAAGCACTGACCCGTGACATCTGATATTGAATTTTTGGCCATGGAAAAAGGCAATGCAACAAACAAACCAAGCAGGAAGTTCAAAATTAAAATTAAAATTAAATTAAAAAAAAAAAAAAAAAAAGGGGGAAAAAATTAAAGTTAGGTTTGCCCAAAGGACCCAAGGTCAGTCATTATAGGCTTAGAAAGCAAAACGCCAGTTTCCAGCACTGCCCCTGACCTATCACTTTCTCTCTCTTCCCCCTCTCTCTCTCTCCTTGGTTTGCATTGCGCACAGATCTTTGGTTGGCTCAACCAAAAAGCAAATTCAAGAAGACATAGAATTAAAAAAAGAAACAAACCCATTTCTCCAAATCCCCATTTGAACCCCAAAGGCAGAAGCTTTTAATTTTTTTTCTTTCTTCTCTCTCTCTAACTCTCTCTTTCTCTCTCTTCATGAATGTGTTTGCCTTGGGTGTGGTGGGTTGTAATGAGTGAACAAGTAAGTAAAAGGTGCTTAGCTTAGCCCCATTGATCAATTCCTTCATCAACCACCACCACACCCCACTTTCATTTTGTGGGTTTTTTCTCTCTTTCTTAACTTTTCTTTGATATATTTTTTATTTTGTGTGGTGGTTATGGAAAACGAAAATGGGGGCGCAAGATTTCTCTACATTGAAGCTTTGATCCAAATTCTGCCATGGAAATGGGGCGGAAGCTGCCATTAACAGTGGACTAAGGAACTAGAAACAAAACCCCCATTTCCCTGTATATTAACTCTTCTTTCAAGAATTCTTTTTTTTTTTTCCCTTTCTTCACTGTAACTTCCAATCAACACACACAATGAGAAAACATGGATGGCAGCTTCCTTACCATCCACTCCAGGTATCTTTTCTACTAGCCCCTCTGTGTGTGTGTAAAACTGTGTGTAATAGTGTGTGTAAAAGTGTGCTTTTTGTGTGTTTACAGGTGGTGGCTGTAGCTGTGTTTCTGGCATTGGGGTTTGCTTTCTATGTATTCTTTGCGCCTTTTGTGGGAAGGCAATTGTTCCAGTACATAATTATTGGGATTTACACTCCCCTTGTAAGCACAATTGCAAATCTTATCTTCAATTTTCTTTTGTAATTCATCTTGCCTTTCGAGTGGGTGTATCGAAAGAAATGAGATCTATGGGTTTAACAATGCTTGTTCCTTTATGATTGATCTTTCACTTTATGCCCTGAAATCGGCATTTTTTTTTCCTTCGATTAGTTCCGTTTAATTGCATTTCGACACTCTCTATAAAATTTGGGTTTTTTCGTAATTTGTTGAGGTAAGCATTCAAGCCTCTCTTCAATGGAGTGCTTGTGTCATATATATATAAATATAGCCACAAGTTTCGGACTTTATGTTATATTATGTTTAACAGAATTGTTTCCGGTTGTTATCTACTTGACGTGGAATACCGATGAAATTTGGTTTTTGTCGATATTTGTGTAGAATGCACTAAGCTATAATGAATTGTCGACAGGTGTTTCACAATTAGTTAGTTAGCTTCTGATATTTGTTACGCGACTTCGTCGTTTTCTCAGCTGATATGCGCGTTTGGACTATACATTTGGTGTGCTGGTGCCGATCCTGCCGATTCTGGAGTATTTCGATCGAAAAAATACCGTAACATTCAGGACAGCAAAAAACACTTAAAATCGAGCGAGTGTAAACACGGTGGTGGAGAATCAATTTCGTCGTCAATTCGAGATGCCAATTGTGCAGCAGCCACTCCAGAGGAATCAAACGACAGAGGCAAAACGGATATCGAGTCAGCTGCCGATTGCAATACCGAACACGAAGACAAGAATTCCTCGTCTCGTAAGCATAACTGCTTCTTAACGGGCATTCTTGTTTTACTGCCTTGTGCGCTACTTTGCAACTCGAACGAAGATTCTTCTGATCAGCAGAGCGAAGATGGAATGTTCTACTGTAGTTTGTGCGAAGTAGAGGTGTGCAGATAAATTACACCTAGTTAGTAGCTTTTTTCAACCGTGCGATAATGTGACTAAAAACGGTTTAACTAAACTTTGCAGGTTTTCAAGTACAGCAAACATTGTAGAGTTTGCGACAAGTGCGTCGACCGATTCGATCATCATTGCAGGGTACATAAGTGTTTTTCAAGTTGGTAGATATTTTATTATTATTTAAAAATCTAATCTTTTTTTTTTAATTTTTTTTTTGTAGTGGCTAAACAATTGCATAGGCAAAAGGAACTACCGGAAGTTCTTTACTCTAATGGTGTCTTCCCTTCTCCTGGTATGCCGCATTTTCGACATTTCACCATAAAAAAGTTAATTAATCTATTTTTTCAGGTCCGTTTTTATATATTTAATAAGTTTTATTTGATTGCAGCTTATACTTCAATGGTCGACCGGGATACTTGTACTTATCCTCTGTTTTCTCGAGAGGAAACGGTTTGCTACAGATATAAGCTCCAAGCTGGGAAGCAGTTTCACAATGGTTCCGTTCGTAATTGTGGTGGTGAGTATTTCGTCTCCTTTTCGTTTAAATTTTGTCGTAATTTTCATTGTAAACTTATTGCAGTTTTGATGAAAATTGTTACTAAAAAAATTCGTATTTGTCTGCAGGCAGTATGCACGATATTAGCCATGATTGCGACCCTTCCGCTCGCTCAGCTCTTCTTCTTTCACATCCTTCTAATCAAGAAGGTCGGAATTTCGTTTCATTTTCTCCCTTCTTTTTTTCTTACAATATAACGAAATTAAAAAGAAAATGATTTGTCGTAAACTCACAACTGCAACGTTTGGATAAATAGGGAATAAGCACGTACGACTACATAATCGCTCTAAGGGAGCAAGAGCAACAAGGCGTTGGAGGTCAACAAAGTCCTCAAATGTCTCCTATTAGCTCCGTCACCGGATTAAGCAGTGCCAGCTCATTCAACACTTTCCATCGAGCCGCTTGGTGCACTCCGCCTCGTCTTTTTGTCGAAGATCAGGTTTAAATTCTTCCAAAGTTTTCATCAAAATTACCCCCTTTTATGCCCCCCCTACACATCTATTAATGCTTCATTGTAATCTTGTTATCGTATGCAGTACGATGTAGTACCTCCGGACAACGTGTCAGTTAGTTCACTCGGGAAAAAGACAACAACGGAGGAACAACAGCAGACAAAGAAAAAGAATCACACCGCAGCTGTGAAGATCAGCCCATGGACGCTCGCAAGATTAAATGCAGAGCAAGTTTCCAAAGCCGCAGCAGAGGCAAGAAAGAAGTCAAAGATCATACGGCCCGTTTCCAGGCCGGGCCCCACCTACGCCCCGGAAACCGACAGCAGCTTCGGCAGCAGCGGCCGCTGGACTGGCCCACGGCCCGAAAACAACAGAAAACGGGGTGGCGGCGGCGGCGGCGGTGGCAGCAGCAGGCGGATCCGCCTCCCTGCGGATATGCCGGTGGGTACGTCGGGCGGGTTGGGCCCACTGCACCACGAGGCCCGGAGCGACTACAGGCCGGGCCGGGCTATTCCGGGCCTGGGCGTGGGCCCGGATGGGATTATTGTTGCTTCTTCGCCGGAGAGTAGCTTTGGTTCGCCGGAAGCGAACGCTTTCGGGTCGGGCGCTGACGTGGCGGGGGGGCTTGGTCTTCCTTTGTCGAGATCGACGAGCGATGGGTATGACGCGTCTGGCGGAGAGGACAGCGATCGTGTCCCGACGAGGATTATGAATAGGTCGAGTAATTGGAGTAGTCTTTTGTTTGGGTCTGAACCGGATAGAAACGTGTCGAAATATATGCCGCCGTCTTCTTCGTCTAACAACCATAGGAAGGCATGAAGGAGTGAATATGTGATTTGCCTGCTGGATTCTTTTGTGAGGGAATCTTGATTGATTGATTGATTGATTGTAGGATGACCGTTGGATCTTTTGTTCTTTATCATCAACTCTTTGTGAATCTTCTAGAATTTTTTTTCTGCTATGTATCAAGTGAAAAAAATACATGTGTTCCAATGTAACATCCCTTTTGAAACATAAATTTATAATCATGGAATATTCTTATTTCACAATGTGGCCACTTGTGGGTAAATTTCACTATTGTGCAATAACTCGCAAATCGTAAAAAAAAATCAAAACAGAAAAAAAAAAACCACTCGAAAATAAAGAACAAAGTCTTGGTCAATTCCATCAATCAAGAGTCAACGGGACATATCCCGGACCCAACTCCTCATCAACAATCGGAAATGCCGCCGTATCTTCGCCGTGGAAGGCCTTGCAGTGGACGAACAACACGGTGCTCGCGGCCGTACTATAAACAGACAACACTGTCCAAAGACCAACACAAACAATCAGCTGCACCACAACCAAGCAACTCAAGCCATTTCTGCTTGCGTCGATCGCCAAAACCGAACACCACGCCGACAAAACCACGGACAAAACTCCGAAGAAGATCACCATCGAAAACGAGACGCACCTCACCCCCTTGGTCAAATCCCAACACCTCCCCAGTGCCGCAAGACCCCACTGCGATTCCGCAACCACCACCGCGGCCGTCAAACACCAACCCCATATGACATAAGTCGTCGCCACAAGGACAACGGAGATCGTGAATACCGAGACGGGCAGATATTGATCGCAGTAGTCTTTCTCGAACCCGGATAGAAGAAGAATAATCAGAAGAATGTTATAAGCCGCGATCAGAAGACCACCGACAGCCCATACCAGAAACACGAGGCAGACTAACTTGGTGCCGAGAAGAGGGAGGAACGAAACCAGAATGGATCTGAGCGACGAGATGAGTCTGGCGGGATTGCCGTAGAATCCGCGGAAGGTGGCGTAGGTGATTGAAACGCCGGCAAAGAGGCCGAGGAAGAGTACCAGAAGATAATAAACTGTGATTTGGACGATGGTTTGAGTTATTGAAACTGAGACGGTGCGCAGAAGAAAAGGGTAGATGAGTGGGGAAAGTGTGACTGGGAGGACGAAGAAAATCGAGAGGGCGGCGTAATGGCGGGGCTGAGCGGTGGTTATGCGCCACGTTTCTGACAGTATTCCACAGAGGCTTGGGCGGTGGCCGTGGGATGACATCACAGATGATCGGAGATTGACGTAATATATAGTTTGTGAGTGAAGAGAGAATGTGATTGATTGCAGATGGTCGAGAATATATATATATATATATATATATATATATAAACGATGGCCGGAGAATGTGTCAATGAATTGATCATAGACTTTTGAAAGTAGTTGCGTCAACTTTTTTAAAAGACATTTGGAAGTGGACTTTAGCTTACTTAATTTTCAATTTGCATGCATCTTATGTAGTTATGCGGTTTGATTGTGATAGATGTTGTTTCAGTTTTAATAATAGTGATTTCAGCTTTAAACATAGTTTTAATAATTCGAAACTTAAGACATGAAACCTGTAGTTGATTGAGTAACATGTCTAGTTCAATTTAAATCATCAAAATTGAAAAAAATATGTCTGAACGAACGATCACTGCTCACATTTTTTTAATGTTTGACATATCTAAAATGCCAAATATAACCTTGTTAGTAGACATCCAATCTAGCGGATTCAAGTTAGATTAGAAAAACTAAGTCAAACAACTACAATTTCAATGAGAAGTGTAATAAAAAATAAGATAAGTAAATAGTCAAAATTACGTTCGAAGTCAAAAAGATATTAATGTAATTGCAGCAATATTTAACATTTTCAGTTAACTTTAATGTTTTGATAAAAATAGGAAAAAAAGCAAAATTTGGCTATATTTTTGGGTTCATATAGATGTCAAATTTAATAGGAAATTAAGGTATAATATTTAAATTTTGAAACGTAGATCATAATATATTAAACATATATATAATAAATAGAAGATGAAATAATCAAAATTCAAAGCAATATTATTTTATTACACAAATCAATATAAACCAATTTAAATTTCTCGGAAATCAAACACAACAAAATATTTTTTATCGACACTCTTTTTATATTAGACAGCATCGTCGTTATAAGGTACTTGTGCATATACCCGACCGAACTTCCCACCGCCGTTCTCAAACGCCGCCATCTCATCGCCGCCGCCGTCGTGGGCGGCTCTGCAGTAGATGAACAGCACGGTGGTCGCCACCGTACTATACAGCGAGGCTACGGTCCACACACACACACAAACAATCATCTCCACAACAAACCCGCAACTTATAACTGTCCATATTCCATCGCCGCCACTTCCGGCGGCGGCGGCGGCTTTAGTCACCATACTCGAATACCACATCGACAAAAGTCCCGACGGAACTGCCAGTAGCATAAGCGTCCCAAACACGACCCATTTCATCCCTCTAACCAGATACCAACTCCTCTTCAGCGGCGCGTAGCCCCAACGCGACTCCACAACCACCACCGCCGTCGACAAGCACCACCCCACTTGGATGTAAATCGTAGCCGCCATAAGAAGGACGGTCATCACGACTAGGAAGGCGACGAAATTCGGACCGCCGTAGTCCAATTGGACACCGAATAGAAGAAGCCCGCCGTACGCAAACGCGATTAAAATCCCGTAACAGGAAAAAATCAACCATAGAATTACCAGGTAGACTAATTTGGTCGCGAAAAGAGGGAGGAACGAGACCGGAATTGATTTGAGCGCGGCGGCGATTCCTACGGGTTCGCCGTAGAAACCGTGGATGGCGGTGTGTGTGATGGACGCGCCGCCGCAAAGGCCGAAGATGACTGCGAAAAGGAGGTAAATAAATTGGATAATTAATTGAGAAGGAACTGAATTTGAATTATTAATATTATTATAATTGGGCGGCGGGAAAAGGAAAGGGTAAACGCCGCTGGAAATTGAGATCGGGAGGAGGAAGAGAATTGAGAGGACGGAGAAATGGCGGGGCTGGGCGTTGATCACGCGCCACGTGTCGGAGAGTATTGCCCAGAAGTTTGGGGTTTTTTGGGCTGACGTCATGGTTATCAGAGATGACGTGATAGTTTTTCTTTTTTCTTTTGAGTGTTGTTCGATAATTAATTAAGAAGACGATGAACATAATATATATATATATATATATATATATATATATATATATATATATATATATATATATAGGATGGCGGGAATTATTGGAATTTGACTCGGTATTAAGTATTAATTCATCTATTGATAATGATTGACTTTTTCAAATTATTAGCGCTAACATTTATTTCGTCTTCACTTTTTTTTTCTCTTGTAGACTTTTCTAAGTTTGAAGAAACGATGAATTTTCTTGGACAACCGTGTTGTTTTAAACCGTAAATTTATAAAGATAACTATTCACTAAATACTACTCCATCTGTTCCACAATAACTGTCTGTTTTTAAAATTATTTTTGTTCTATATTATCTGTCACTTTACATTTCCAATACTGTATTAATTGTGTAATTATCAATTTTACCCTTATTAACTATCTTCAAAACTCTCTCACATTAAGTATTGGCAAGGGCATTTTAGTATAAGAACATATATTTTTCTAAAATTAAGCAACATTTATTGAGATCTTTAATCCTTGTGCACAAACTAAAAACGACAATTATATAGGAACAGATGGAGTATAGTGTATGTATGTGTAAATGGATGTTTGTTATTATGTACATATCAACTATGTAAAACTTTAAATAGTGATTTTTATTAGGCGTAGGTTCTATAAAACTGTCGACAGTTCATCATCACAACAATTTATTTAATTAATTAATTAATTATTTTTTTTATTTTTTGTCTTGTTGACTTTTACAAACTGAAATGAACAAGAACTTTCTTGGATGGACTGTCGACTAATAAGATGTTACAACTCGTGAAATACAGTAAGTTGTTTTAAATCATATATTTATATAGATAGCTAACTATTCACTAAGTACCAACACATACATCGTATGGGTATGTTATTATGTGTAGATCAATGATGCAAAATTACTTGGTGTTCTTCACGCTGGTGTAGATTGTACAAAACCGTGGGCCATCCGTCATCACAACAATTATTATTTTATATTTATTTAATTATTTATTTTTTGTAGTTTTTCTTCTTTTCTTTTCTTTTTTTAATTTAACTTCATTGACCCAACGGCTTCTATATTTTTCTATAATTATTTTTCATATGTTCACACTTTTCATTCGTATCGATTGAAATTTGAAACAATAGCAATTTCCTTACAAATTTTCATTTGCTATCAGTTTTTTTTATTTTTCGGCCCAAAAATTAATCAATCTAATTATTGAAATGTTTTATGCCTTGTTTGCTTGCTTATATGGAATTAGACCAGACCAGATCAGATTGAATTATTTTTATACAAATTAACTAATTCGTAAGTTGATAATATATTTGATGCTTTAGATTACATGTTGTATTCTATTATTATACGTGAATTGTCTATAAAAAATTTTATTTAATAAAATTAATTATTGTTTAAAGGATAAAATTGTTGTTATCCATTTTAATCACCCCTTCGAAATTAATCGTTGGAAAGGGGTGTTACTACTTACTAATTTCATGAGATATGATACGGGCTTGATTGACAATTAATAAATAAACATAAGCCCACTAGAGTAAGCCCAATACGATAGGCCCATAATGAAGAACCCATGGTGTCTTAGCTCGGTACCGTGAGCGAAGTCGTCGTATGGCGCGAACCCCGGAACTACTTGGGAGTACCTTAACTCGCTAGCCCAATACCAAAACGAGGTAAGGCGAGCCCAGGACAATACAGGCCCAAGATACATGACTTGGGGGAAAAGAGAAACCCTAAAAAAGGAAAGCCTTGGAGGCCAAGCTTTCCTCATCTATAAATAAGAGAATCAACACACACACAAGGGGATGAGATTTTTTACACTAATCACTATTACATTGCATATACATTTTTCTATTTCCGATCACTGACTTGATCGTCGGAGCTTTCCCGCCGGGAACCCCTCCCGGCGTTGCAGGTTTATTCACCCGGAGTACGAACGGAGCTGGCTTGAGGAAGACGAAGACCTACGGACTAAATCAAGTGGCGCCGTCTGTGGGAAAGGCCTAAAAATCAGGAGAAAACAGCTTCCGGGAAAAATCAGATCTACCCCCGGAAGTCCAGATCTGAGCTGAGAACGTGGAGAAAGAATGGACGGAGAAGACGCAGTCGCCCGGAATTTGCAGAAGGATTTGGATGCGGTAGCCCGTGGTGCACCGGTTGACCCATCGTCCGTTCAGAAAGATAAATCGGGGTGTAGCTTCCTTACACCTGAAAAGGAGGGCCGGATCCCCTTCGCTCCAAGCAGCCCCTCTTTCGAGTTCCAGGATGGCGAAGCTGCTTCGAGAAGGCCAGCCACAACCCCCGCTCAGGCTCCCAATGAGCGCACGTATACCCGAGACGAGGTGGAAACCATGATCACCGCGGCCATCAGAAACTACACCCAAAGTTTACCTCACGATAACCGACTCAGGAGGGATCCCAGACATTCCCCGAACGAGGGACGAGCTGATGACGAAGGCGACAGTTATTCGGAAAATCGAAGAGGCGATAGTCATAGAGTCAGGACCGAGGTAGACAGCCTGAGACGCGATATGAATGAATTAAAGGCCTTACGGAACAGGCCAGCGCGAGATCTCGTGGGATCTAGCCCTTTCGCAAAACACCTTGATGATGACCCCATACCAGCTAGCTACCGACCCATTTCGTTCGAGTACAATGGCACATCGGATCCCGCCGAGCACCTAAGCCGTTTCAACAATACAGCATCGCTTCATCAGCTCACAGAAGGGGTGAGATGTCGTGCCTTCGCTACCACTCTAGCCGGATCTGCTCAGGCCTGGTTCGGTTTGCTGCCTCCCGGGAGCGTACAATCTTTCGAGCAATTTGCCAAGGCTTTCATGAACCAGTTCGCCAGCTCAAAGAAGTGCAAAAAAACCTCCCTGTCACTATTTAGCATTCGCCAAAAGGAGAAAGAAAGCCTCAGGAGTTACATCAAACGGTTCACCTCGGCCACCCTGGAAGTCCCGACCACCAGTGATGAGGTACTCATGGCAGCTCTTTCTCAAGGACTGAGAGATGATGAGTTTTTCCGAGCTTTGGCGCTGGAGCCGTCCCCTGATTTCGATAACCTATTAGAAAGGGCATCTAGGTTCATCAATTTAGAAGAGGCCCGCCAACAGAAAGTGGAAGAATCTCACCAAGTCGCAAATACACGAGTCAGCGAAGTAAAGAAAGGCAGGGAGCTCATGTTACCTCGCAGGGATGCCAATGCCCCTAGTCGGAGTATTGTCCCGGATGCTAAGGGATCTCGTTTTCAATCATATCAGCCCCTTACGGCTCCTCTGTCCCAGGTGTTGTGCGCGATTGAGAAGAGGGCTGATCTACGATGGCCTCGAACTGCTCGCGGAGCCCCCCGTCGAGATCCAACGTTGGGTACTTTTTGCCGTTTTCATAATGAATATGGACATACGACCGACGATTGCGCACATCTGAAGGACGAAGTGGAACGTCTCATTAGAGATAACAAAATCGGGGATTTTGTGAAGATAGATTCACCTCGGGGACAAAAGCGTGAAGCCCAGTTTGGGAACCCGCCACGAGCACCGCCACCAGCACCGAAAAGAGGGTACATTCAGATGATTTCGGGGGGTCCTACGGGAGGAGATACTCACCGGGCTAGGAGACGCCACCTCGGTAGCCTCAAAAATAATCATGAGGTTTGCCAAATCTCGACACCGAAGTATCGTCAATATCCCACTATCTCGTTTGGTCCGGAAGATGAAGCGGACCTAGAGGATTTCCATTGTGACCCTCTCCTCATCACGATTAACGTTGGGGGGTACGATGTCGCTCGCGCCTTCGTTGATCCAGGAAGTTCGGTGGATGTTATATCCTACGAATGTTTCCTGCAAATGGAGCTTGACCTCCCAATCTTCCCTGTCACTACTCCGATATTCGGGTTCACGGGGGGATCCCTGACGCCGGTTGGACAAGTTAAAATCCCTGTCACTATAGGAACGCCACCTCGGGCACGCACTCAAACTGTCAATTTCGTCATTGTCGAAGGGTCGCCAACCTCGTATAATATCGTGATAGGGCGACCTATGTTACATACCTTTCGGGCGGTCCCTTCAACCATTCATCAAAAGCTTAAGTTTCCAATTGATGGAATGGTGGGAGAGGTCAGGGGCGACCAAGCCCAATCGAGATCGTGTTACGTCGAAATGGTTAAGGTAGCAGAGAAAGGCCGACGCGAGACCCTTACCAAAGAAGATTTGGGAGACGAGAAGCGTCCCCGAGTTGATCCAGAGGATAAGGTTAATCATGTACAACCCATGGACGAATTGATGACAATTGACCTCGTCCCCGGGATGATGAAACAAACCCGGATAAGTAAGGATTTAGAACCACCTCTCCGAGATGAGTTGATAGCTTTATTGCGGTCTAATGAGGATGTTTTTGCTTGGCAACCAAGCGATTTGACCGGTATATCGCCACGAACTGCTGTACACAGGCTTAATTTACGACCCGAGTGCAGGCCCGTCAAGCAAAAACGGCGACACTTCGGTACCGAGAAAGACGAAATCATACAGAAGGAAGTTCAACGGCTTCTGGAAATCGGACACATCCGGGAAATTCAGTTCCCTACATGGCTGTCTAATGCGGTGTTAGTACAAAAAGCCAATGGCCAATGGCGAATGTGTATCGATTTCAGAGATTTAAATAAGGCCTGCCCGAAAGACGATTATCCTTTGCCTCGCATAGATCAGCTCGTAGATGCCACTGCTGGATGCGAGTTACTTAGTATGATGGATGCCTCGCAAGGATACCACCAAATTCCGCTAGACAAAAAGGACCAGCCCGCAGTCAGTTTTGTCACCGCCTCAGGGACTTATTGTTACGTGGTAATGCCTTTCGGCCTGAAAAATGCCGGAGCCACGTATCAGCGATTAATGGATAGGATGTTTCGGGCTCAACTCGGACGCAACATTGAAGTTTATGTTGATGACATGTTAGTTAAAAG